GCCTCATCCTCCCACCCACCCACCACACAAGTTAGTCACGCAAAACCCGCTTCCCACATGCCCTGCTAAGTCATGCTCGAGCTTGCGTTTTATGGCAGGCTCCGATTACTTCCGGTTCCCTTTTTCCTTTTTCCTATCACGAAACTCCCCTTAATGGCTTTGTGGCCACATGTCACAGTTTATATGAATGTCTTGGGCTAGGCATGAGCTTTCGATGCCTATACTGGCCGTAGCCAAATTAAGCTCCAGCTTAGCAGTGTGTACCTTGTTTAAGCAAAACACGGTAAGAATCGTTCGCGTTTCTTACCGCGATCGATCTCCTAACTGGTCTCGGCGCTGCGTACGGCACCACGCAGGCCCCTTGTGATGAAGCCCTCCGCTGCACGCAATGTACTGGCGTCATTGCCGCTGCCGCTGGCAAGTACGGAACACCAGCACCAAGGCAGTAAAGTCAACGGCGCGGTAGGGCCGCCGCCGCCGCCGCCGCCAGCGGCGGCCGCCGCGTCCAGGGTGCGGGTGGCGGCGCCGTCTACCCCCCGTCTGCCGCCGCTGCCAAGCCACAATTCCCAGCCGCCGCCGCCGTCGCCGCCGCAGACGGCAGCCGCCGCGGCGACGGATCCACAATTTCCGCCAGCAACGCCGGCGGGGGCGCATCAATCTTCGAGCACGCATCACCACCACAACCACCACAACCACCACAACCACCAGCACGTAGGGTTATTGTCGTCGTCATCGTCGTCGCCGCTACCCCCCTGCAGTGCCGTACACGGAGGTGGTCCTAGTGCAAGTGCCGATTTCAGTCGTGAGATAAGGGAGGCGGCACGGAACCACCCTGGCCTGCCCGCCAGCCTACTCGCGCAGCTACACCGCCCCCGCCGACCCGGAGCTCCATCCTCCGCGCCGTTCGCCGGGACGTCATGTACGACGACGGCGATGGGGCCGCCGTCAGCCGGCAGCGCCTCCGCCGCCGCCGGCGGAAGCGCCGCCGGCGTATGGCCCATGAGCCCACGGTCCCGTGCCCGGCTTACGGCGTCGTTGGTGAATGGTACGGCGGCGTCAGGAGCTCCCGCCACGCTGGCGTCGCCGCCGCGGCCGCCGCCGCCGCCGCCGCCGGCGGCGGCTGCGGCACTGAGTCCGGAGGCGTTGGCGGTGCTTCTGGGATCGCCGTCGCAGCCGCCGCCGTCGACGCCCGCCGGCCTGCTTGTGATGCGCCGCGCGGGGCCAGCGGCGGTGGGTGCTGGAGCTGCTTTACGACCAACGACATCACACCAGGGCGGCGGCGGCGGCTCTACGACGGCGGCAGCTGCGCCTGCTGGATTGTCGTCACCGTCAAGGTATGATTGGGGCTGGGACGTGATTTGGCGGCTGGCTGCGTGTAACGGCGTCGTTGTATAGGTTATGTTCCCTTCGCACAAAGCAACATTCAGCAAAGCACACAACCAACATAACGACTCAAGAAATTGGATCCCGGCTTCACCGCAGGCCTCAAGTCATGCCGCACATCACGGTGCCGTACAAGCCGGGATCCATTCGACTGCCGATGGGCGGCGTCCCTGGGCTAACGGCGGCTGTCGCACTGGGCGGCTCGCCGAGTAATGGAGCATCGGGAGCTGCGTCGGCGGCCGGCTCGGGGACGGGCTCCCCTGTCGTACCGTCGACGGCGGCGGCAGCGGCGGCGGCGGCGCTCGGCCCTGCCGCCAGTGAAGCTTTGCGGCCGTGGACTGCCGCCGCCAACGGCGCCGGAGCCTTGCGGCCCACAACCGCAAACCCCCTCACGCATTCCATGCCCCTGGACACGACGAACACGCTTGTCGTACGGATGCCGCGAACCGCAACGGTAGCGCCGCACGCTGCAAGCGCCGCTGCCGCGCCGCCACCGCAGTCCCGTTGCGGAATCAGCTCGTCCACGGCCGGGCGTACGGCAACAGCAGAATCCAGACCTTTCGCCAGACTGTCGGCCGCCCCGGGCCTTACATCCGGGGGCGGGGAGCAAGATGTACGGCAACTGACGGCGCAGGAGCTGCGGTCTGTAGTTGCGGCGTTGGCGGCGTCGCGCCCGGAGGTCGCAGCCGTGTTGATGTCGCGAATGGCGACCCCCGCGGCGGCGGCGCCAGTGGCTGGCGGCGCCGCCGCCGACGCACAAAACCGCCCCGTCACCGGCCTCAGCCGCCGCCCCACCGCAGGACCAGTCGGCGACGACGCGGCCACAGCGGACGTGGCGGTGCAGGGCCCGGCTTGGGATGTAGAGTATATGTACGGCAGGGCTGTCGGCAACGTGCCGCCAGCCAACTCCCGTACCAGCTCACGAGCTTCAACGCGGGGGAGTCTACTCAGCGGGAGTGCAATTAGCGTCGGTATCCGCGATCCGTCAGTGTACGACGACAAGTGGCCACGACCGTCCACGAGCAGCGGATCGCGACCAGGGAGCCGCGGCGGCGCGCCGACAGGCGCCTCCGGTCCGCCGCCGGGTACTGCCGATGGCGGCGGCGGCGCCGCCGCTGCCGCGAGAGTCGGTAACAGCAGCGACATCAGGCGGCCCGCCATCAGCGCATGGGGCTCCGAAAGACGTACGACACTGCGGGCCATTCCGGAGGAAGCGGAGTTGGACGGCGGCGGTGAAGAAGGCGCCGGCGATGGCGTCGCCGCAGCTGCCGTCGACGTCGACGTTGCAGCTCCGCTGCGACCGTTGCAAGCCTTGGATCCTGATCCTGAGCTGGATTCCGCCTGGGCCTCTATCGTTGCCGCCAATCAGCGCCCGGATACCGGGGTGATGCGGTCCCCATCCCGGGGAATCGACGTGTTCAGTCGCCCAGGTGAGCTCCCTCTATGTGTGCGTGTGTGTTTTTGGGGGGGGGGAAAAGGGCCGGGGTGCGGTGGGTTGGGGGGGGAGGATGTGTGTGTGTGTGTATGTGTGTGTGAGGGGGGGAGAAGGTCCCGCCAAAGGCCCCCAAATGTTGGGGAACCGATCCGAACGAAGATGACAAGTCGGGATGCGATGATGGCGCGTTTGGGGGCTGCAGTAAATCATGCGGTCACGCGTCCACCTCCCCCTAGACCCCCCTTGCTTCACCATCTGCCGTGCCCCTCCCTGTCATGCTCTGCCTCCCTGTTCACATATGACTAGCCAATAACGAACCTCCTGTGTTGCCATCGTCAATCTTCCAGCGTCGCCGTCCCTCCTGTCGCCCGAACCACCGCCCCCACTGCCGCCGTCGCCATCCGTTCTAATGTTACCTCCAACGTGTTGGTTACTTCCCAGACCGCCGCATTTCTCACCGGTACTGGTATAAAAATGTATGTATGTACGTTTGTGTGTGGGTGTTGTGGGTGTACTGCAGCCACGGGCGCGATCCGCATCACCCGCCAGGCGGCCCCCATGGTCCTGGTGCTGGAGGACATCGCTGCATCGACACCTGAGGTGGGTAGCTAGGTAGAAACGGCTGGGGAGAAAAGTTGCTGTTGTTGTTGTTGTTATGGAGTGGTAGGCTTCCGGGCAAAACGAACACATTTGTGATGTCTAGAATTGAACACCCTACAGCACCATTCACCATTTTACCACACATTTTACTTCACTGCCATACGAACTGGAAGTCCTCAGGGCAGTTGATCCTGCCTTCTAGGATCCCTCCTCATCCAGTCACCCGAACATCCGCAGAGACAGAGGGTTCAGCAATCGTCACCAGTCCGGCGTGCGAATCTCGCTCCATCAACTGTGAACCCAATTCCAAATCTCAGCAGCTAGCTTAAATTTCATGCTTCCGACGATGTCGGGGTTCAACTTGGAATTTTTTACTGTATATTGCAGTACTTTGCAGGTCAGACCAGGTAGAAGTAGCTAGATACAAGTAGCTAGTTTATTCTGGCGCCGAATGAGGACGTTGGATTATTAACGTTGGCAGGATTAAACAGATCCCCCTCTTAGAGGCCGATATGCGTTGTGGGAAGGAGATTTGCGCGTTGACTTGCAAGGAGCAAAATATCTTCGTCCCACGGCCCATAACGGAGAGGGAAATGCGCTTTCCGTTAGCTCCGGTGCGCGATGCATGATGAACATTACGGAAGCGACGAGGGCCGCTGCTCGTCGTGTCCGTTCATTTCTGGACGCTCCTCGCGCAGTCGTCCAGGGAAGCAAGAAGGCGGAGGAGGTGGATTTGCCAGTCGATGCCAGTCGCTGTAGCCCTTAGGCCGGAGCGATGAAAAAGCGCAAATAGAACGATGCCTGCGATGCCTTGTGGACGTAGCTCTGTATATTTAGATGTGGATCTAATGCGTGGGTCAGGTAATGACGGGAGGAATGGCCGACTTAGGGTTTTCACATCTGAGAAATGGTGCATGCCCTTGCATTTCCTGGAAACGATTATTTCAACGAAGCTTCCACTGCGGTTGTTAAGACCTCAACCCGGATTATAACCGGAAATGCAATCCGCGTTCTGTCCGCCTCGTGCCCCAGGTTTTGGAGCGAGAGCTGGAAAACCTGAGCCTGGAGGAACTACAGGCGCTGCGGGCAAAACTGTGCACGTGATATCCCGATTGGGGGACCTGTCGCTCAGAATAGGTTAGCTGTTTAGCAGTTAGTGTAGGGTTGTTGCCTTGGCGAGCGTTAGCACAGAGGACAGAGATGTTGCCTGTGGTGCGGCAGCCGGCGGTGGCGTTGGAAAGAGACGCGTCCAAATAGTTATTGTTTCAGTAGTTAGTTTTTCGGAAGTATGTACAGCACAGTAGAGCACTCAGGATAATAATGTTAGCGCTTAGGACTTAGGAAGATTGTTGTTGAGCAATGCCAATTGGAATCATGCAGCATGTCACATACAAGCCCCGTGTGACAAATCGAGTTGCGACGACCTCACAAGCAGGTTGGGCCGTCTATTGCCCTGCCTGCATTTATTGCACACCGCATGCAACAGACATGCAGCTTGTGTATTCCGCCATCTGGGTTTCTAATTATTGATTTGGAACGCCGTGTTTGGAATGTTGTAGAAGGAATCTTTACAGCAAGCAAAGCCGTCTTCCGTTCCGTCGCAAGCTGGACACCGCCGTGGTTGTATGTACGTGACAAGGACAAGACGCATTCCCGCACACAGGTACTGTGTCGGGCCGCTTGCAAGCGCCGCGGGGAAACAGCGGTTATGAATGCGACATTCAGTTTTTCTTGCCATCGATGCAAGTTGGACTATGAAGCGCGTGCATCATATGCACCTTCGCACTATTTACTCGTGCCAACCCTTGAATCCGAGACAATCCCCGTCAAAACGACACCCCGTCAAGAGCGACCAGCAACCCAGTCCCTTCGTGGTTCAACCCTATCGAATAAGCCCCCCCAAATCCTGGTAATTTTACGCATACCAACAAACACACGGACATTGCAAACAGACATCAAGCTAACAATGCAAATCGCACGCCACGGCGCCGTTTGGTGAATGCCACAGCCGGAAGGGGAAGGCTTCGTAACGGCACTGCGATATTCGCTGAAACTCAAAGCCACGCAAGCGAATTTCTTGCGCCGTTCAGAACCATACAGTTGTATCGATGAACGGCATCCGGAACTATTATGGCTTTCCCACTCTGCGCCACACCCGAAGCATCCCATCGCGGGAAGAGTTTCCGAGCGCTCAATTTCCCATTCCCGTCTGTTTTCCGCATTTTGGCTTGTGTGAAACCATTCATGCGGGGGGAGACGGCCATATAGTCTCTGCGACGACGGAGCCCCGCTCCATGCTCTTGACAGCTGCCATCCGCCGCATACCACGCAGCACCGACATGGTCGCTGTCATCCCGTTTTAACCTACATGCCTAATTATGGGTTTTACGCCAGCCTGCCATCCGCTGCAATCAACAGCTGCCATGCGCCGCTGCGGCGCCCCACACACTGAAAACGCTGTGGCCCCATGCACTGCTCCCTCGTCCTTTATTCTCTGACGTACTGGTACTCAGCCTAGGCACGAAGGATGAGGGGCGAGATCAGTCGAATTCATGCGGCACCAGTTAAGACAGGAGGGGGGCAGGACGAGGTGACGAGCCCGGCCCAAGACAGCTGCCGTTTGCAAGTTCGATACAACGCACCTTGTTGTGCATGATAAGGTTGTTGTCAACGAAGTAGAAGCTGTCAGACTTGTGTGCAAAGGGATGGGTAACCTGCACAGACATGTTCCCATAGTCACGCCACGGCAAGGGTGTGCGTTTCGGAATAACCACGACTCACGTAGTCGTTCACCATTGCTGTGGAGTGCTCTGGAACGTCGTAAATTGCTTCCCAGGAGTTCGTGCTGTTGGGAATGCAGAAGCCGAACTCGAAATCGTAGGAGCGCACCAACTTGTCCTGATATAAACAACAAGTTTTAACCCTCAATCGAAAATCATAATCAAGCTTAAATGCACACGCATACCTTGAAGAAATGCCGCTCAATCATGCGGAGGTTGCCTACTGGCTGTGGCCCAACGCAAAACTCGAGTCTGCAATAGTTGTCAGCACGTCAGCAGGGAGCCCGATGATATCTCCACAACAACAGCTCAACCTACAGCGTCCTGACGGTCTTGAACTTCAGGAAGCTGGCTGGGAATGTGTACTTTACGCTGCGGATCAAGTTCTCCACCTCTGCACCAACGCCCCCGAGGTCAGCCAAGCCCCGAGCTTTTGTAAAACAAACCAGCATGCCTTACCAGGGTCAAGCGTATCCGGCAGCGGCTCGGGGTCAGGCTCGCGGGCGACCTGCTCCAGCGAACAAGCGTGAATGCCATACTGACCCTAAGACCCGAGTTGAACATGCCTACCTGGTAAACCACACGGTTGGTGTCGTAATCCTTAATTTCGAACTTCAGGAACTCTATCCCGTAGGTGTTTGCGCTCAGAGGACAAAGGTAACCTTGCGAGGAAGGGCCATGTCGGTTCAGTCCAGGCTCCGAAGAGCTACCGCAAATTCATGTGGAAAGTAAGTTCTTACCCCTGGTTGGCTTGTCGTATGACAACACAACTTCCGGGGTAATGTTCGACATATTGTGAGTCCCCCGGCACGAAATTCTTAGTGAGTCCCGGTTTCTACGCAAACAAACTTAGGTTCGTCGAGACGCAATACGAGAAAATTTCAATCCATGAGCTAAGACTATGGAAACTTTGCGCCCATTTCATATGTACGATGTACGACATTTTTTTATGCGTCCATGAGTCTTAAAACTTCCCATAAAAGCGTTATGGCCGCTCATTGCCTCTCCCCATTGCTTTATGGGCGTTTTACCCCATCTATCACTGTTATGCAGAATCACAGCCTGCTCTTTGCACGCCCTCGCTGCAAAGCTCGCTATTATAGACTGAAGAAATTTTCGCCATGTAAGTCAACGCCTACGCTGCTGCAGCATGTGGCTGACTAAGCATTATACGACATAACGCGCTGCAGCAAGCTGGACACTGTATTGACGTCACCAGGCTGCGATTTTGCGTATCTTGCAGCGTTCTGCTGTTTGGTGATATTTTCCAATATCGGTAACACAAATTGCGCAACTGTTTTGGGTTTTTGAAGTTGCAATGTTGTACGGCATAGAAAGCCAATCCATGCAGGCCCTCAGGCATTGTGCAAAAGTACTGGATGTGCGCGAGTGTGCGCGTCTTCTGGGAGACACCATGTTGCCGTGCCATCACCGTCCTAAGGTCATCCCCTCACGGCCAACCGGAATAAAGCAACACACCGCACCTGCGCAATCCTACGCAAGAGAATTGACACGCACCTTATACAAGCCCATGAACATGGCTCTGCGAACCCTCGCGATCACTTCCCGACGGGAGAATAATTGATGTCAAATGGCAAGCCGAGCCGAAACTGGTTCGTTATTGTTTGTCGAGTCTCGTGCTGAATGAAGTGCGGTCGTTTCCCCTTCGGTAACGGATAGATGACATGGTGCAAACCTCCCCAAACTTCCCTGATTTTGACTTTCGGATTATGTCCAGGACAGTAGCCACGTCCGTTTTTTCCGAAATCGTAGATATCACCTGGACAGTCCAAACCACTCAAACAACCTTGGATATACCTACACGACATCCTGTAGGGCAACAAGCATCATATATTCGATTTCTTACAGCTTTTTTTTCAGCTACCAGTACCTTCCATCCCTTGTGTCCGAAGCTTACAGGGTGTCGTACACGTCTCGGTTACACTTCGAGTTGCTCATTTCTTTCCTCTCTCGCAATCACCTTCACCTCAACCGGGAAGCTTAGGTGTGTCCTGTTTAATTGAAGAACTGAATATGGCCCTCCTCCTGGCCCAGCACTTCATGACTGGTTGTCCGAACCCCTCCTTCAGGATCCCCCACAGCAGCCAGAGATCAGATCAACCACGCGTCAATCAGCTAGGGGACCGATGATGCACTTCACGTCATGTTACGCAATGGATTTCTTTAGCACCTTGATTGGCTAACAGCCAGCCGAAATTGCCTCGCGTATCAGGTCAAAACATCAACAAAATCGCAAAGGCGACGTTTAGTCCCGGTCCGCAATCGTTCCGTTTTCCAGAAATCCTCTTTCGAGCTATTATATGTTTTTTGACCAAGGAAGTCGTCGGCATGGGGCGCGCGACGTGGGGCTCTGATTCTGACCAGCTCCTGGAAATTGTGCTGCTGCTGGCCTGAGCATTGTTTGCCCTCCCTCCTCCTTCCTGACCTGACCCTCTTTGATACGACTGAAGCGGCTGCGTAGCTGCATGTATTATTTTCCTCGCAGCAACGCAACACAACTTTGCGCTGTGGCAGTAGCAGCAGTAGATGCCGCTGCAGTAACCGTAGTACCAGCAGCAGCAGCAACAGCCGCAGCAGCAGTAGCAGCAACATAGGTTTCAGCAGGCGACTTCAGAGTCACCGTCCCCACCGTCGACATTTGCCTCCACAGACGCATAGAGGAACAATTAACTTGGAAGCAAGAACGATCACGAGTCTCAAAATTTGCACAGGACACACATATGTGCACACACACACACACACACACACACACACACACACACACACACACACACACACACACACACACACACACACACACACACACTGCGCACGAAAGAACGCACAGGACAGTGAACAGTCCCACCCAACCAAGACGCACCTAGTCAAGTCCGCACCCCGCCATGGAGTGTACGGCAACATGGCAAGGGTTTACTCTGCTCTCCCCCTCGCACGTCCTACCTGACGAGCCCAAGTGAACACCGAATCCGTTATTCAAAATTTAAACGGAATCCAGCCCCTGTTTCGAAGTTCATAGCCAGCTGAGCCCTCTTGATCTCCCTAACGGTTGAGCAGACGCCCCGGCCCTGCCACATCGTTGAGGCGCGTGCTAAACCTTTGCCGCCGGCTCGCCCTCACATGCACAGTTGCTGAACACAAGAGCTGTTCAAAAGGCACATGGCTGACGTATTTAAAAAAATTACATCCTTGTCCGACGCACCAGTAAGTACCTGAAGTACATATTGCTGTACACATCCGCGACCATGCCTGAGACCTCCTCCAAGGGTGCGGGTGTGTGTTGAGGTAGAGAGCGCCAGCAAACCAACAACCGTCATTTCCCAGGACGATAAAATTTTATTACAAACAGAGACAGATAAGAGACAAGCACACAAGCCAAATCCGCGCACGTAATTGGTGCACTGCACGGCAACTCGTCGCTTAAATCTGAACGCGGCATCATCGCCGACGACGCCCAGATGGCGGCAGCTAATGCACACCCGCACCGCACCGCACCACCGCCGCCGCTGGGTGTCGAACCTCAGGAGGTTGGGAGTTTTGGTTTCGGCCATCTCCCAGCCTGTCCACACCAGCTGTGTGATGAGTTACTCGCTACACAAGGCCACAGCGACTACACAGGCTAGGGGACCTCACCACGCAAGACCTATGATGATGATGGCACAACCAAAATACGTCGACGAGACGCCAACAAAAAGCAAGGCGACGGCTCGATACGACTTGAAGACCATAACAGCGAATACTGTAAAGATCTCTCTTCGCTGTTTTGATAGATATTTTTCCTTGCGCACACCCAGGTGCGCTTATACAATATTACAGGATGGTATCGGGACTCCTCCCCAGGGGAAAACGACGAGGCAATGCAAGTAGAGTCATGACACAGGCAGGACATTTTCCCCGTGGGGAGCCGGCTAACCAGCCCGCGAACACGACACGGAAAATTCCCATAACCCCACACGGCACACAAGCAGAGACACATACACACACATAGACAGAGACACATACACACACACAAGCAGCAGCAGGATTTACACGCAGCCAGCACCACTGGATCCACCATAGAGAGAGGAGATACAATACAGATACAGACACACATCGATCAACATACACGTAATGACATGAAAATAGAAATACGAGAATGGAGTAGAAGGGGAAAACACAGCTGCAGCCCAAAAGCACCACTCCGTGTTTTTTCTTTCAGCCAGTTACTCACTCCCCCCCATCACCACCAAAACCCCAACCTTCAAGATCCAGGGGGCCCGGGGGGCCGGGGGGGGAAAGGGGAAATAATAGCTCAAGGACTCACCCGCGGATCCCTGGACGGTCAGATCTGCGGTCCAGGGATCCCCCAAAAGTACCAACCACATGCCCCATCACCACCGCAAGCGCATTTAAACCAACGACACAGCCAAAGACAGCGCCAGAGGCTGGTTCAATGGCAGGGGAAGCCTCCAACCGTGGCGCTGACTTACCACCTCTCCACAGACTTAGGTAAGGAGAGGACGAAACTCGACTTGACGGGCCTGACCCAACACGGGGCCTCTTTCCCCCCATAACCTCCATAACTTCCAACCACCACATGTCACTCAGCAGCTCATTAGCATCAGCATCAGCGGGCCCCCCTCGGTGGGAGCCATAAAAGGACTTTTGTTATATTACAGAAAGACCAAAAGCCAGCCAAGAGCCCCTCCTTCCAAGCCGCTTCCTGAAAACCACACCTTCCCCCCAGGTGAAAAGCTACTGCAGCTAACAACTGCTCTATTGAGAAGACTTTCGTATTGTGTTGTTGACATTGTGTTGTTGTGCGACTTCATAGAACCTACTTTAATGACTGATCTGATGCTGTATGTTAATGGATGGTAGCTAGCAGACAAAACTCTCGTGCACAGCTTTTTTCCCCCTTGCCGGTGAACAGCAGATTTTCCTGTTCGCTAAGTTTTCAACTGCTCTGAGTGTGCGCAGCCATCCTCCACCCTCCCTCCACTACAACCGCCGCCACCGCCACCTGCACATCGGCAAACTGCCGGCGCTGGAGAGTTACCAAAGCTGGTCTTTGCAGCCGAAGCCGATCTCTTTCAGCGCTGCAAGATGGCGGGGAGGCATCCAGAAGGCGCACACAACGCACAACCGTAGGCGATCAGTTGCAAACCGCTCCTCCTCCCCCTCTCCGCGTCCTCCTTCCTTCCCCACGTTCAACCACATGCCGCCAAGACCACGTTGGATGGTACGTGGAGAGCGACAGAGCGAAAGGGCGGGAGGGAGAGAGGCCGTCAAGAGGGCATTTTCCAGCCCCCCGGAATCGACCGCCGTGCTGCCCCACCACTGCTGCAGCCGCCCTTCCGGCCCCCTCACGATATTATTATTATCATCATCATCATCATCATTATGCCATGATCACAATATGCGTTTTAGAAGGCCCCCCTAAGCCCTCTCCTCCGTTTCCCTCGTCTACACAATCCAAACACGCAAATCGTGTGAGTGCTAGGAGGTGACGGACACGAAAGTGACTTCACTAATCGCTCTTCCAATCGCCCATGATAACGTGCCGGCATCAAGACCCTTTCCTCCTCCATGCCGTACTCCGTACTCCAGGGCAGTTATCCAAGCACACACACACACACTCTCTGACATACCCCTACCCGTATCCTCGAGGTTCCGGAACCCAAGGAAGCGCGCGTCTCAACCCACCCACCCATCCACCCACCATTCCGACCACCGCCACCACCACCTCAACTTGGGGCTGCCAACAAGGGAGCATCAACGCCGCCTCTCTTTATATAAAGACTCCTCAGCTCGCTGGAACGGCTCTCCTCCTCAGACCGTTGAAACCCGCCGCACACCAGCCTCCCTCTCCGAGGCCGAGGACAACGAACAAGACAACAAGAAGGCTGGCCTCCCCTCCCTTCTGCTCTCCCTTATGCGGAGGGCGTCAGCGCCGACAACGAAAACTTGGCCGCGTCCTTAGCCCGACCCAACGTGGTGAGCGCCGTGGAGGCGATGTGCTGCGCCGTGAGGCCCGCCATGGCCAGCTGGTCTCGGTAGTCCCCGTGCTCAATGTAGCGGTCCGGAAGGGTCATGGGGCGGAACTTCAGACCGCCATCCAGCAGACCTGCAAGGAATCAAAACCACCAACAGAATCAACCACCAACCACCGAGCATGCGTGTTTAGACGCGCGAGGGGCCCTATTGAACCGTTAGGCACATATGGGTGCGTGCAAGCCCGCTACAAGTCTGATGAGACTTCGCGCTTCAGAAAGGAGTTATGTATTGCTTCTGGTGCCCCTCCTTCTCCTCCCCACACTCCTCCTCCTGCCACTCACTCACCCACTCACTCGCTCATCATGCAGACCCACCCACAGCTCCAGCCTCTCCGTCCTCTCTTCCCCCCCCCCAGCCCATTCCCCCCTCCCTACTTTCCTTTTATGAGCTCTCTCTCTCTCGCCCTCTCTCCCACACGCCACGCGAACTTGCAACAAGTCCCCAGACACAACCACCCCTGCCTCCCCAAAATGGTGCCCCAACACCCTCCCTCCCTTCCCCTCTCTCGTACCTTCCAGCGCCAGGAACTGCATCACGTGCGCCGCGAACCCGCCAATGGAGCCCTCCTCGATGCTGATCATCACGGGGTGCTCACGAGCAGCCTACACACCGGGCGGGAGGAGGAGGAGGAGGAGGAGGCGGTTTGAGGGGTCGGTTTGAGGGGTCGGTTTGAGGGTGCAAGTAGAGGGTTGCGTCCTAAAGCGCACTGAGGAGAGCGTTCCAAGGTGCTTGTGACATACTTCAACTGTTACCGGCTTTATAGCCTTTTCGCTCTGAGAGCGGGCGAGACCAGGAAATGTGTACAGGTGCGTGTTGGAAAGGTTTTCCCCGCCAGCACTGAAACCCCCCACAGTCTTGCCCAACCTCTCCCGCCAGCAACCCAGTCTTTCCCCCCTCTTTCTCCCCCTAACCCCCAAAACAACCAAACCCGTATTACACCAGACGCACCATGCGCACGAGAGCCGTGTCAAGTGGCTTGCAGAAACGCGCGTCAATGACCGTAGCCGACACGCCGTCGCGCTCCAGCATCTCCGCCGCCGCAAGGGCTTCGTTGACGCTGCTGCCGTATGCCAACAAGCACACGTCCTTGCCTTGACGGCGAACCACACCCTTGCCGATCTGCACCCGCAAATACATACGTACATACATACATACATAATTGCTTAACAGCGACAGAAAGGAGCGATTTAGAACTTATCAGGCCAGATTTGACAAAATTCGGGCATGGACTGCCCATTACTGCCAGACAGACAGACCGCGAAACATATGAAAAGATAAAACTCCTTTTCCTGACTTTAAAAAATATCTCCTGGCTTAAATCACTAATAAGGACGGACATATATAGAGGTATAGATATATAGATACAGAAATGACGGACGCGGTGTTCCTCTTCAGGTCGTTAATCCCCAATCCCCCCGGGACATAACTAACAACTAACACCTAACACCACCGCCCGCCAGCCCATAAATCCCCACGCCACCCCACCTCAAGCGGCGTTCCCTTCAGGTCCTTAGTAATGCCGTACTGCGACAAATCCAGGCCTAGGCCGTTGCCACGGGGAAAGCGGAAGCACGACGGCGCGTCATCGATGGCGGCGGCGGTGGCGACCATGTTGACCAGCTCCGCCTCGTTCGACGGCGCCATCGTAATCATGTGCGGCAACGAAGCCATGAACGTCACGTCGAAGGCACCGCAATGCGTCGAGCCGTCGGCGCCCACCAAGCCCGCGCGATCCATCGCGAAGCGAACTGTACGGCACATTACGATACGTTACAATAAGATATAGAATACGAATCCATTTAATTATGCGCTTTCGAACGGAGTCATGCACCGGGGGGAGGGGTGTAAGGGGGTAAGACGAACCACTGGCGAATGAAGCAGATACCAGAGAAAGACGGATATACCCCCGGAGAAGACAAATGCCGCATCGGGGATATCTACCCCGGTAGGGTGGGGTGGGGTTTAAAACCTCCCGCCATTCAGCCATTCAACCAATTCAAGGGGAAACCAAGAGGGGCAAAAATAAAGCTTT